GCTTTTTCAGGATTATACAGGGCATTAATAAACGAAAGCATATAAGAAGCCTCTTCTCGAGCATATATTATAGTAGCTTTCGCCGCTCAAATCGCTCCGCTTAAGGCAGAGTTCGGAATTAGTTGCCCATTTCGGCCGATTGACAGCTGCTTTTTCTCTGCTGCTTAGAGTATATTCTCATATCATTATCAAGTTTTGAGAAAATGTCTCCTATATAACGTGAGATTTAGCACCTCTAAAAAGGTCAAAGGTATTTAAGATGATAGTATTGGAAAATGCATGATTTTCAGAGAAAATCAACGTTTATATGTCTATAACTATTTTTCCCTTTACTTAACGTAATTTTAAGGTCGATTTTTTTATTCTACGGGAAAAAACAGGAAATTTGCGTTCACCTAGCGGTCCCCAAATCGCCTAAAAGTCATACCCTCCTTTCCCATTGGAAATATTAAAAAATCGAACAGGCAAATCTTGTCCGCCACACTGCGGATAGCGCAACGCGCGCTCGTGGACAAGTTGTGGTGTCGCAACCTTCATCTCCGGCTCGTACACCTGACCTGACCGATGAACGGCGAACGGCGATCAGGTAGCGCGAGGCTACCAGCGAGAATGAGCACGTAGGGCGCGCACGGCCGCAAGGGCGAGTAAGGGAGGATTGGAGGGTGTGTTCGCTGGGGGCGCCGCGCTGGAGAACAGGTATACTCGTCGTATAGGCGTCGTACGTTCATTGATAAGCGTGTAACACCCCGCACCTTAAAGCCGTGGTGACGTCAGCGGACGCCTGCGCGGCGTCGAGCTCAATCCTGAATCGCAGTCCTGACGAGAGACCATGAGCGTCGCGGCGCCGCCGGTGCTCCCATCGCGCCACTATGATCTCGCCGGCGCGGATGAAATAGACGCGCGTGTGTTCGCGCGGTCTGCCTGATTAGAGGGATGCACGGATGTCGCAGGCGAGAGAGATGCGCGTCGGATTAATAAATATGTAATCCCTTTGACAAATGACGCACGCGACGCGACGCGACGTAGGAGCCGAGGGAAATCTCATTCTACGCGCCGAGAACAACGAATGATTGCATTAACGTGACAATAACACAATTACCAAGGTATTACTCTTTATTCATTTGTTCGTATTGTGGAGTATGAGAGAGTATAGTTAATGTAATCTTATTCATTTTGTACTCTTTTCTCCGTTTCGACATCGATTGTCTGTACCACCTTTTCGTATTATCCATATTAATTGTTGCACGGACAGGATTTATTCTAAAACGCAATAAAGCATTTTCTAAACGTTATTGCGCAACGTTATTCTAAACGCAATAAAAGTTTCAAATCGACAACGAAATAGAGCAAAAACACTAGATATTAGTGTGCAAATCGTTTTATTTGGAATTAAGAAAATTATGATAAACATTTCAATCCTACATTTGATCAAATGTACCAATAAGTATATCAATGAAAAATATAGAAACATGTAACGACGATGCCTTGTTTTTTCTAGCACTTAAGACGATCTTAAGACGATCATAGTTATGGCTGTAGAAATATCAATTTTCAGATTATCAGTTCCAGACATCATTCACAGACTCTGAGATTTTTAACGTCAGAGTTTTTTTAAGATAGTCTTTTACAAAAATTCTAGTTTAGATTCCGATTTTAAACGCATCTTGGCAGAAGAAAATCGAGTTGCTGACTCTGAAAAGCTGAATTTAGCTCGTAAGAACCAAGAACTCGATTTTCTTCAACCAAAACGCGCTTGATTAAATCATTGTCGATGACGACTCGTTATCCTTAAGTAAATATTATCACGTAGAATCGTAACAACACAGTTTTCCAACCTGTATTCAAATATTTTGAGTCGTTAAATCCTGAAATCAGATTACAGAAACGGCTTACAGATACCGAATGAGAGATCACGCTAGCGAATAATCGAGTAGCGCGAAAATTTAGCGTTCTCTATCGCGGAACTACCGAGATAATGATCCGATGATCAGCCTGCAAAATCGACGACTTGCCAGAAGAACGTTTAGATTATCCGTGCGACAGGGATAGTACGCTCCTGGTAATCCGGCAAAATCGCTTCAGGGAGGGAAGAAGGTGCCGTCGTCCTTCTTGTGCGGGGAATTTTGGATAAGTGTACGTGCGTACGTGCATGCATACGTACGTGCGTGCGTGCGTGTGACGCAGTGTACTCTCCGCTAAGTTAAAATTAGACTATCCGCCGGTTCCTCGCAAGTCCCCTTCTCTTCCTCTTCCTCCTCCTCCTTCTTCTCCTCCTCCACCTCCTCCTCCTCCTCCCTGTGCCACCTCTTCATGATGGCCGTTCGTTCACGTGAGAAAAATCGCACGGCAGAAGAAGGCACGACAGGTTAGAATGAAACGAATGGAAGGGAGTCGAAGAACAGAGCTAGATAAATGTGAAAGAAATACGAGCGGTGGGAGAAGCGACGGGCGAACAGAGGTAGAGGGTTGAAGACGGCGGGTAAAAGTCAGCGAAGAGGAAAGAAGAGAGATGAGGAAACCAGGAGGGAGTAAGACAGTGTGAGTGCGGAAATAAGAAGAACGAAAGAGAGGGTGAGAAAGCGAGGGAGAAAGAGATCACCTCGTAGGATCACCTCTTGCGTATTGATTGGTCTTTTGTGAAAGCTACACCCCCATGTAGCCGCGACGCGAACCATTTCGCCAAGTCGCCCGACTTCCAGGGTATCGGCCGCCAACGAAACCGCCATGTTTGGCGCGGTCGATCGAACCCTTTAACGCCGCGCGCGAATCGTCGCGGCTAACCGCCCCCGAACGAAGATAATGTAGCGAGCGAATGAACGTGCGGGCGAGCGGGCGAGCGAGCGAGCGAGCGAGCGAGCGAGCGAGCCATCGATGAGCCGCCGGCATGCATCCCCACGCCGGGGGCAAGGGACCGTCCACCCCCGCCAAGCCGGCGAGAGCGAGCGAGAAGTGACGTAAGGGAGATCGTGCGACGGACTCCGACGATACAGCGACTCTATATCGACATCGATCGCTGAGTGACCCATATCTGGTGGTGACGGGAGTCCCTGCCCCCTTCCTCACCGTTCGAGCCTCTGTTGCCCCTACAACCGCTCCTCCGGCGCTTCTCACACCGTCGCGCGCGCGTCACCCTCTCCTTTCGACCATCCCCGTCCACCCTGCGTCCCCTGCACCCCCGTACAGGGGTGCACCTCCATCCCACACGGGCTGTTCTACCCCCACCTCTCGCCCCCCGGTAGTGGCAAGCGACCACCACCATCACCCCCTACCCCCGACTCCGACAGCCCTGCCTGCCTTCCACGGCCGAGCAGATCTTGGGGGTTGTACGGGATGATAGCCGAGTGAAAAAGCTTGGCGAGTCCCGAGGAGTTCGCTCATCAGCAGCAGCAGCCCTGGCCTGCCACAATCCCTTCGACTCGGTCATCGTAAGTGTCGCGACAACGAGATAGAGTGGAAGCTGCTGCGGGGGTGAGAGTGAGCGTGATAGAGAGAACGAAAGAAAGAGAGAGAGTGTATGTGCGTGTGTGTATGAGAGCGAAAGCAAGAGCAAGTGAAAAAGAGAGAGAGAGAGAGAGAGAGAAAGAGACGAGTGCTTGATGAATAGAGCGAACGAAAGGACCCGACATCAGCCCTGCGACCTCCTGGACGACTGACACATTTGGACGAGTAGGGAACGAGTGAGTTACTGTGCTACGCGCGTGCAGAATATCGCGTACAGGAACGTGATCCCCGGCTGTGGCCGTGAACGTCAACTCCGCGTATCCTCGGGAGTGTAGCACCCTCTCTTCAGCGTGGTTGACTCGCTGGCGGGTCGCCGAGGTGTCGGGGTTCACAGTGACGGCCTTCCCCGCAAGTGTTAGTAATCAAAACGTAACGGCAACGACGACAACGACGACAACGACGACGGCGATGGTGCCGAGACAGCGCACCAGTATGGCGGACGGTAATCGCGGAGTGTCGGTGCCACCACCTCCGTCGCCGCCGCCGCCACCGCCACCACCACCGCCGCCGCCGCCGCCGCCGCCGCCGCCGCCGCCGCCGCCGCCGCTGCCGCCGCCGTCGTTGCCGTCACCGCCACCGTTGCTCGTGACAATGGTTGCACTACGTGCCGCCGTGCAGTGGTGTCTGGTGCGCACCGGGTGCACATGTACGCTACGTACCTTTCGCCCTTTAGTGAGATCAATAAGCAGTACCGTGACCACTCGAGCCGTGCCCGCGCCGGGAAAGTCGTCCCGAGTCTGGTGTTCCCCGTCCCCCTCTGATAACCCCGCCACTACCTTGCTACCCTCTTGATATCGCCGCGACTTCCGACTCGAGGTATCGCTCTAAGGGGCTTGATTTCGCACCGGACTTTCGCCGAGTCGTTCGTACGCGGAAGCGACCGAGCCTCTCCGAGTCATCGCCGGGGATTCTTGGACTGTCTCAGTGAGCGGAAGTGCAGTGCCAGCGGAGAAACGACGGTGCTCTCCTCTCGCCGTTTTCGCCACGGCCGAGAGTGCTGCTCTCTTTCTCGCTCTCCTCTCTCTCTCTCTCTCTCTCTCTCTCTCTCTCTCTCTCTCGTTCCACCTGCTTATCTTCATATATCAGTCGCTATCTCGTCCGCCATCGGTGCTCCTCGATATCGCCTGCTCACGCAGCACTCCTCGTCCACATCTTGGGTCGAAACGTTGCCAGCCGGAGTCCGGTAGGAAGTCTTGACGTTTCCTTATCGCTCTAGTGCCTGCCACTCTCGTTTCTTACCTCGCTGCCTGCCGCCCGCTTCTTCGCCCGCCACCCTCCGTCTCTTCTGCCGCCGTTCGCTTTGCAATGTTCCTCTCTCTCTCTCTCTCTCTCTCTCTCTCTCTCTATCTTTCTCTCTCACTCTTTGTCCGAGACATACTGCTTTGACTTGGAATGCTTCCTCGGCTGGTGTGTAACCACGGCCTCGACTTCGTCCACCTTCGTGATCCAGCACTCGGGCTGATTTCTCCGTCCGGCATGGTGTTGTTATCAGCCCCATGAAACTCGCGGTATTGATCTCCCGCGAGTGACTCGCTCTTCGCGATAACCTGACCGCCGCCTCCCGGTGCCCCGGAGACCCCGTGAACGTCGTACACGACGAAACCGCCGTGCTGACGCGGGCCAGGCCGAAATCGGCGCGACATGGCAGGTCGACACCGCTTCTCTCGGCTCCGAGTTGCATGAACTTGAAGAAGCGAGCTGTCAGCACGAGGATATCGAGTGCTCTGTGACACGTGTCAATGACAGCCGCTAGAGAGTCGCGATATATCTCGTTATACATGTCTCGTTGACGGAAAATTCGCAACATTTCTCTGTGAGCGACCTCCTCGTCGCTCTTCTTCGCCTGAACACGCAATGCTCCGCTCTTTGCCTTTCTGTACTCTCGCTCTCGACGGCGCTCGGCTGAACATAGGCCCGTGTCGATTATCCGGAGCCGACGACTACCGGACGCCCGACGGCGGCGGTATCGGCAGTCGAAGGGTTAACGAACCGAGCCGCGCAGAGCAACCGCGAAGTGACGGTCGCGATAAGATGTATTCACCTGAGAGAGCCTCAACCGCGTGCGGCGGAATAAAATCGATAATTCGGCATTAATATAGAAGTCCGGCATCAAACGCCGAGCGATAACCGTGAATGAGGGGCGCGGGGGTGTGAGGGTGGGAGTGGAAACCGGAAGCAGTCTCGGTCGCCGAAAAATGTCACGCTTCTCCTCCCTCGCGGATGATCACACGCGTGTGTATGTGTGTGCCTGTGCGTGATGTGTGGTCGAGTGATACGCTCTTAAGGGGATGCCAAAGTGAATGACGAACTCCAAATATGTCCAATCGATAACGTAGAGACGATCATCATTAACACACGCCGTCATAAATGCCTGAGCATTTACTAAATCGAGAGTTGTACGATCTTCAGCCTTACACACGACATCTGCCAAGAAGCTATTCTCCTTTGCTCGAAGGCAAATAAGTGAATTTTGGCACCAATCAATAAAGGATTTCAATAAGTGCTGAAAGTGTGAAGATTACATCTGTGAACTCATCAGAGTTCGAGAAAATTGGGATTTCTTCATGTCATGTCCAATGTCTTTGCTTGGTCACTTTGAAGACTTTCACGGGGCTATTTAAAAGTGCCAAAATGATAATTAAATTTTATTGCAATTTATTGCAAAATTATGGCAATTCACATGCAATTCGTCTAGAAAGCAGTGACTGAAGCACAAGCATTGATCGCAGTGCGCACATCGGAATTCGGAAATCGGAGTACAACCTACGAAGTGACTAGGAAGATATTTAAAATCAAAACAGTACTCTACCGATGTGACAAATGGCCCGGGTTAAAATTTTAATTATTATTTACTTCTAGAAAATGGCCCCGTAAAGGCCTTCAAAGTGAAGACACTGACAAAGACATAATATGGGGCAATCAAAATCTCATTTTTTGGAACTCTGGTGGGAACGCAGACGTAATTTTTCCTCTCAGTACTTATTGAAACATTATTGATCAATTGCTAGCAAAATTTATCTATTTGGCTCTAGACAAAGCAGATTAGCCTTTTGTGAGACTGAAAGTCACATCGATAGTTACAAAGGTAGGATTATTATGGTTTTAATTGTAATGGTTTTAGCTTTATTCGTGTACGCACATAAGTTCGAAAATCGTGTGACTCTCGATCTAGGAAATATTTTGACATCTATGGCGCCGTGTGTACATATCTTATATAACTGTGCACTGCTTAGGTCTACTTAACGGAAAACGTAACTACGAACAAGTAGAAATTTTCTTGCAGACATTTTGCATATTTATTGTACATATTTTGTACATTTTAAAGCTTATAAATTTAGTTATAAAGGTACAGCGATGTTTTTTAAAAGTTTCCTGAATACTCATGTATGTGCAAGTTGTATCAGCTAAATATTTACCCTAACTGACAGCTCGACGTGCTAACTTTCAAAGTTTTCGTCGTATCGCTTTTGTTGTATCGAATAATGCTCTAATTTATTTTTGCACGTGCTTCAATCACGTCAAAGCATTTGCAATTCTGCGCAATTAATACGACATGAACTTTGCGGGAAAAAGACAGTATCTTGTGATGTAAAGTTTTCAAGTATGATAAGAGTGCTAACGCCTAGACTATCTGATCTTGGACATTCTTACTGCTTCGACCTTTAAACACAAATGCTTAAACTTGCAACATAAAAAATACATATAATAATATATATATATTCTATATTAAAAATTTTAATATTCGCATTTGAAGACCAAAGCAGCAAGAAGGTTCAGAAATCGTGTACGTGCTCGGGAATTGATACTTTCACCTAATGGCATCCCCTTAATATGCGCTCACGAGCTTGCGTCACCATTTTTTATGCGCGCATCAGAACAATTTTCGCACCAGTCCACCCTTTCCACTTCCCACCCTCCATGTTATCTCGGCAGCAGGTTAACTGGTCTTTTGATACGCGTCATCGTTTTATTCATCGCGTTTTGACACGCACTTTCTGCGTGCGTGTGTATGTGTATTATGTGTGTGCGTGTGTGTGCGCGCGCGCGCGCGCTGTTACATCGTAACAGCGTCGCCGATTGTTCGCGCGACACGGTGTGAGCTCCAGTGTGTCAGAAGAGCGGATAATTTCCCGATCGTCGCTCTCATTGTGTTCGTTAGCTTCCGGAGAAAGAGGGACAAAGAGCGGGAGAATGCGCGGCAATTAAATGTATCAAAAGATAAAAGCGCGCGCGCACGCCGGGAGTGTTGCTATTATTAAGTCACGTTAATAGGGAGCTAATGAAAGAATGAGAAAGACGAGGGGGGCCGGTCAAGGCTCAGCAAGGTGTATTTTCTTCGCGCTTTTATCGTCGCGATTGCACGGTGCGCGCGACAGCAGTTTTCCACGGCACGTCTTTTTTTCTCTCCTTTTTTCTTTTCACGCAAATCACGCCGCGCGCGCCATTTCATTCCGGATTTCGGTCACGGATATCCCGCTCCGCAGGCGCAGACATGCAATTTCGTGACTTTCTTCGCGAATTAAATTCTTACATTGAAAATTTTCCCCATCAAGATACACACCGAATCGAACGATCTTAATCAAAAGTTCGCGGACGCTGTGAATTTTACTCGCTCAATTTCTCTACTTCTCTCTCCCTTTCCCTCTTCCCCTCCCCCTCTCTTTCTCTCGCGGAATCGCCTCACGTGTAATCGACGACTTCAACACTCATGTTTCTCCGCGTCACGCTCGTCAAAAATGCACAGAAGAAAGAAAATTTTTGTTTAAAAAATATCTTAATTTCTGACATGTAAATCTTAAAATGAGATCACACAGCGTTAAATGAAAATAAGTTACCTGCATTAATGCATCTCATATGACTGAATAAAGAAAAGTTTTTTATTTTTTCTTCAAACATGATTCTTTCATGGATGTATATGTATGTATATGTGTGTATGTGTGTGGAATGCATGAAATATTGGATTGGGAACACAATATTTTCGAATGCCAAAAGAACATATCATTATCATGAAAATAATCACATGCACTACCACGAGACTTATAATACCCAAATAAAATTATAACATTGTGTGTTGAAATCCAAGATTTCAGAATTCTTCTGACAAGATCGTACAGCATGTCTGACAATTTATGACGCACGAGTTGTGTGCAGGTAGAACTCGTCGAGCTGAACATAAAGTTCCATTTCGCAAACAATCATGTAAAATTTTGAATTGCCAACTGAAGGAATTTAGTGCGATTATCGCGCACACGATCCATGCACCGATCATCTTTGATTAATAACTCAGAAGTCCACGCGATGATTTGCAAAATGATAGAAAACTTCAATTCGATCTGATGTACAAGCACACAAGTCGTCATCACAGCTCATTCATCGTATCGCGCGTGATCACTCACCAATCTTCCTTGATTAATAACTCCTAATATCACGTGGTTGTTGGCGAGATAGTAGGGGAATTTCGTGTAGTGTTCAGTTTCGTGAGTTCTACCAGCGCAGCACGGGTGTGTCATTAACCGTCAGACACTGTCGTGTCATTGTTTGAAACAATAATCGTTAATTTGAACATATTAATTTCAAGTGGACAGTAATTTTCTCTTTTCTGTGTGACGATTATATCTGATCCTTCGCGTCGAAGGTGGGGGCAAGGGACGGAGGGAACGATCGGTGGGCGCAATTGACCGTGGGGCGAAGTTAAATGCGCTTTTATCTCGGCGCACGGGCGCGAGATAACGGAGCTGGAGGGACTCTCGTCGCGCGCAAATCGCCGACTGATGCGCCTCGGACGAGACACGTGCCACTTGTCGTGACATGTAGATTTAACGAGATCCTCGTTGCCGGTGTGCGGTGTCTGCGCCCATGTGTGTGCGTGTGTGTTTGCGCGCGCGCGCGCGCGTGTGTGTGTATTGTGCGCGTATGGTGTTCTCTCGATCGCGCAAACTTTCCGCGCGAAAAACCGAGCGAAACTCGCTCGCACGCGACGTATTATTAACGCGAAATCTCGCGCACGGTAGTACAGTTATAACGTGACAACTGATAATAACTCGCGTTCGTACAGTCAACACACACACACACACATACATACATACACCTTACTTTCTGCCAGGTGTGAAGCACGCAGTTCGGCGGCGGTCGGGCTCGTTGCGCGGCGCACTCGAGCGATCGTCGTGCACGAAGCGAAAATCTCCTGGCGGATTGCAAACTCGATCGAACGGCTCGCGCGAGTACCTGTTGCCAATAATCGCGTCAGCGGAACTTCTCATTTAATAATGAACTCTCGCGATGAATTCTACGCGAAACTACGAATACACTCGAAGCCGGCGGTGGTCTTCTTATTTTTCACGCGGGCGGCAAAATCGAAGGAAAATCGGCCTCCTTATTTAATGGTCTCCTTATTTCTCACGTGAAACAGAAGGAAAAGTGGTTCGGTCCACTTGTCTCTCACGCGAACGGCAAAACCAAAGGAAAATCGATATTTTTATTTTTCGCGTGAAACAGAAAGATGATCGATTTGGTCTTCTTATTTTTCACGCCAACGGCAAAACCGACGGAAAATCGGCCTGGTCTCCTTATTTTTTACGTGAGACAAAAGGAAAATCGGTCTGGTCTTCGTATTTTTTACCGAGATAACAAAACCAAAAGAAAATTGGCCTGATTTCCTTATTTTCCCCATGAAACAGAAGGAAGATTCACTTAGTTCTCTTATTTCTCACGCAAACGGCGCAACCAAAGATACAAATCGATCTGGTCTCCTATTTTTCACGTAAAACGGAAGGAAAATCGGTTTGTCTCTGTATTTTTCACGTGAAACAGGAGGAAAATCGGTCTGGTGTCTTTATTTTTCACATGAAACAGAAGGAAAATACGTTTAGTATTCTTATATTTCACACAAAACGACATAACCGAAAGGCAAATCGGTCTCCTTATTTTTTCACGAAATCTTCGTGTCGCGCGAGCATGCTCCGCGGATCTTCATGGAATATGACTGAGACTCCTTAATTGTTTCTCTGCTTTGGTGCTTATAGCTGACTTCCACACGCTCGTGTTTGAACAAACGAACGAACGAAAAAAGCATCGACTGCAGAATATTTCGATAACCACGAGCGTTACCATACTCCCGGCCCCGGGTATCCTGAATATCCGAAAGTCAGACTACGGCGGAATAGCCGCAGCTCTTGGCACGATATCACGAAATCGTCGAGTCCCAAAAACGTGCGTTTCCTCCTAGGATGATCCGATATCTAGCGACGAGCCGACGAGACCGGTCCGAGCGAGCGTTGGTCCCCTTTAAACGCGAGGTCGCCCCGTATCTGCGAGCTACGAGGGCAACTTTCGACTCGTTCCCGCAGCGGGCCACGCACGTGCCGAGAGAAATAAGAATCCCCTTTCGCACTGCACTAGAGTCGCACTGTTGAGCGTGTGTGGGATCGTCGTGGTGCGCGACCCGGCAAGTCGCGCGCAAAGGCCGCCAATTAATTAAGATAGCTCCTAGACACACGCTAGATCGATAGGGACCGACCGCGATAAAGACTGGCGAGGGTCTCAGACTTCAGGGATGTTGCAGTGCTGTGGTGTTGGAGGTGGCGTTTCCACGGCACCTCCGCAGCTGCAGGGCACCGGATCCGCTCTCGGGACTACCACCTCCACGAGAACCACCATCATGCAGGACGCAGTTCTCGAATCCATCCTGGAGGTGAGCTCATCCGCATTTTACTTCCGCGACCATACGAATCAATATGCGTGTAGGATTTCGAGGTGATCATTTTTCTAGTAGAGACTGTGAAGATTCGCTTGTATTTCTGTATTTTATCATTAGAGATGTCATTCTCATTAATTCTTTTCTAATCTTTCATTTGTTTTTATTTCTTAATATTTCCAATATTTCTTTTTAGTAATTCTAATATTTCTTTTCAGTTGCAAGAGTTAAGTTTAATGGCTTATAAAATTAACTTTGTTAAATTTATACAAGCAAAAGCTAACTTAATTGAAAGTTAAGTTATAATTGAATTAATATAGTTATGATATAAAGTTTGAATTATGCAAATATATTTCTTACATATTTAATTTTCTAATTATTTTAAAATTATGACATATTGAAAAAAAAGTTGGTTTTTATATAAAATAATACCGACTGCAAAGTATACAAGAAAAGAACATTAACTGTTAAAGAGACGAAAAAAGTTTTGCTGGTATTATTTTTTACTTTTCTTATTCCACATTGTTAGCAATGATTTTGATATTGATAGTATCTTATATAAAAAAGTTAATAAGAGAATTAAAGTTAATTTATTTTAAACTAACTGCTTTAAACTAACAGTTGATATAAAGTCAAGTCAAATTACAAGTCAAGCTAAAACTTTTCAACGTATTAACTTAACTTTTAACTGATTAACTAGTTATTATCCAACGCTGTCATTAATTAATTTTCTACAGTTCATTATCAATTTTCTACAGTTTATTATTTGGGGGCGATTTTTATCTCTCTCAAGCGCGCGCACGATATACCTTTCTCAGAACTTACTATTCCAGTCGTGTATGCGCTGATACGTCGATAATTATTCGCTTCTAATATCCTCGCGAAAAACGCAGTTGCGACGTGACCAAATTGAATTCGGAGTTGCCAAAAATTGAAGATTGTTCTTGCTCATAATGACGTAAACAAAGTCGTTGCGGAATGCGTGCGTGCGCTCCTCGCGAGCCAAAAGTCCTTGAAATTAAAACAGATTACGTGGAAAGGTAATATGCATGTAATCAATACACCCACACACACACAAGCTCATGCGCGTGAAAGTTACGTGTAAACCATCGACAATGAATTGTGACTCGCGGAAAGCTCTCTTTCACTGCCGCCGTGCTTTCAGATACTCGATAATCTCTCTCTCTCTCTCTCTCTCTCTCTCTCTCTCTCTCTCTCTCTCTCT